GCAGACAGAAAAAATAAAATAAAATAAAAAATACTTGCAGAGAGCACCTTCTCGGTGGAAATATGTGGTTGTTTTGGTCCACAAAGCCCATGCTGTTAATTTGCCTGCTTCCCTGAGCCGACTTTATTGAGATGTCTACTCTAAACACCAGCTCTTCTTTCCTTAGTGCATTATTCACAATTGCTTGTGAGTGGCTGGGAGTTGTGTTCCTGTGCATGACACTGTGTAACTTGCATGGTTCGTTTGACGAAACATCAGCTGAGCTTTTCCAAATGCTTTGTTTTCATATCATTTTAATTCTTGCTAAATGAACCCAGGCTTGAAGCTCAAGCTTTGGCTGTTGGACATTATCTGTCCCACAAGCACCATGATATTTTCAAGTAAAGCTTTTTCATCAAATTAAATCTGACAAATTGATTCTTAATTAACCCTCAAGAAAAGTTGGTGCTAGTTTTCTAGAGTACACTTAGAGGCCTTTGAACTGATAATATTTTTAATCATAAATGCCCTTCTCCTCCTCTTACAATAATCAGTGCTTTCTAAAGAAGAATTTTGGTCAAAAGGTCTGCATCAAAGAGAATTTCTTCAAAGACAAAATAGCAGTGATTACTTCAGGCAAAATAAAGGCCAGTGGCTGTTACAAAATAATTTTGAAGGAATATGGAACTGGTGATACCTTGGGATTAATGTATGAAAGACAAAATATCCATATTTTTTCAAATGTATCTTAAAACTTACCTGAGTACATTGGTAACCCGTGCCAAAATGAGCCATTTTCCAGCTCTAAGTCTGTCTTTCTAATCCTCCAGCACGAGCATCTGAAAGTCTGTGTGCCATGAACACATCTGTGGTCTGATGAAGCCTCAGAACAATGTTTTAAAATGCATAAAATACATGTGAATACAAAAGAAAAAGATTATGTTGAAATGCTATTATTAAAATGTTACATAAGTTTCTGATATAGTAATATACATGATTCTTTATTAATATATCTTAAAAAAAAAAAAAAACTTGAAGTGGGTCTAATGACTACCATAATCCTGGAATAGTGATGAGCAAAATCAGTATTCAAGATGAAACAATTATGGTTTTATCTAAAATTTTAAAGTGGGATATGAAAATATCTGTGATTCCTATGAATGGGAAGTTGTAAGTACCATTAATACCTTCATGGTCTGTTGCCATGGTAAATGGCAAATGAAATTGCAATTTTTTTCCCACCTACGTGCACAGCCCCGCTAAAATATCCCCAGACCCCTTGGAGACGCCTGGGCCCTGATTAGGATAGCCTGCATCCAGTGACTCTTGCCCCTACTCCACTTTTATTCAACCAGTAGAGAGGTGGAGTGGGGAAGTGGTCAGCTGTCAGCATGCACATGTGTGCATGGGACCCTCAGGAGCAAAGATGTCAGCAGAGCCACACTCAAACCCCAGCCGGTGAGCCTGACGTCTGAACACTGTGACCTCAGAGGGGTCGTTCTGTTGTGTCAGTTCAGTGCTTTTCCAGCCAGAGTCTTTCTCTGGCAATGCTACCAATAGCCAATTCATAGCCAATGCGTTCTTTGTTCTCCAAGATACCATTTTCTAAGATCAGGAAATGTGCCCCAAATATTCTTTATGCTTATTTACCGGAACCTTTCATGTTTGATCTGCTCTTCCCTATGGATAGTATGTTCTATATATTCACTTTCTCTAGGAAGAAGGTACTTTCACATCTCCAACCAGACTTTGTGCCCAAGATTTAGATCCACAGTCTATGTGGTTGCCTAAAATTAGATGTATCCTCTTCTCCAAATCTGTTTTTCCTCCTGACTTTCCTGATATTTATCCTCCTGACTTGTTAGGAGCATCACCAATAACTAGTTATTGAGACTTCAGACTTTCCAACTACCATACCTCCTTCCCAAACATTAATCCCCAATCTAATCATTACGAAAGGCAGGGAGTTTCTATATTTACAGCATCCCTCCAGTCTGTCTCTCTATTCCATTCTCATTTCCACCAGTTACTTTACCACCTAACCTAGATCATTATTACTCTTGCCCCTCCTAACCAACTATTCAAATACATCTTAACATACACTGCTGTCAACTTGATTTGACCAGAGAGCAACTCTGAGGACCTAAAACCAGACCCTGCTATACAAGCTTCTCCCCGGATCAAGTCCCCAGGCTCCCAATTCAGCTACCTGTTTGACCCTGTGCCGCAGTCAAACTCGGTAACTTTTTGTTCCATAAAACAGCAAGAAAATATTTTACCCCGTTTATTTTCTGGTTTGTTGCCTTTCTTACATTGTACCCTCCTTCTGGAATGTGTTTCTCCAGAAACTCGTCTAGTTGAAACCCTACCCTTCCTTCAAAGAGAATCTCAAGCACCACCCATTTTTGTTGACTTTTTTGGTGTGTTTCCACCATTCCCAATTTGATGGAATAGAACCCTCCCCACTTCATCCTCTAAAGCATTTTTCTTAGGACTTATCTGCCTCAATCCTTCATTATGATCCATTATGTTCACCTCACCCATTGTACTAGATTTTAAATTCCTTAGGGGAAGGGGCTGCTTTAGTCCATCCTTGTACCTCGGTAGTGCTCGGCACAGTGTCCTTCACGATGGGTACTCTGTGCATGTTTTCAGTTGAACTGAAATGATTCCTCTATAGAAAATGAATTTGCAGGAATGAACAACCTGAAAATTTCCATGTACTGACAAAGGAGAAGCTAGCCAGCAAGTGTTCACTAACTCAAATCTATTGATTAACTAGTGAATTTTAGTGACACTGTGCTTGCACCTGGCCTTAACCCACAGTCTCATGAACTCGTCATTCCAGCCATTGTGCAACCTAACTCCTGCTGGGCCCTCAGGGCTGAGTTTGGTCAATACTTTCCTAACCCCAAGTCTGGCTTCATGGGCACACCACCTGCGCAGTCCCAGGGAGCCAACACTTAGAAGGGTGCCATGCTTGGTGTCATGTTCTGCTGTCACCATCTTGAAATTCTTTAAATTTTTTAACAAAGGTCCCTACATTTTTCCCTTTGCACTTGCCTCTGTAAATTAAGTGTAATCAGTCCTGCCTAACCTGTCCTCTCCTGTGTGCTTCTGCCATCCTCTCCTGTGTGCTTCTGCCACCCTTTGTTTTTATTTTTTCTGTCTTTACAATCATCACTCAGAATCCTAATTTTCTGTTTAGTACTTTGTGTGCCTCAACAGACCCTAAATTCTGAAGGAAAAAAAGTGAATCCTATTTATTGGTATGAAAAGTATGATGAATACTTATTAACACAGTGTGCTAGATGTTTTTCACTAGTGGACCCTTCCCCTTAGAGACTTCTATTTAGAATGATAACTTCCTCCCTCTCAGTTTGAAGAGATAGATAAGTATCCCCAAAAGCCTTGCCGAGCCCACAGTGTTATCGCCACTCTCATCCATGAGTGCTCATCCCACAATACTGACACGACAGACAGCCAGGACAGACAGTACCAATGTTGCTACACAACATTGAATGAGTTACAAAATGTCCTAAATTCTCAGTTTCCATATCTGTAAAATGGGAATAATGATATTTCTATTCCATAAACCTGTGAAGATAATGTGGGTAATATACGTGATGGGGGCTTAGACCCGTGTACAGCTTGGAGAAAACCCTCTGTGAATGTTGGCAATTATTTTCAGCACATAGAATATAAGCAGTTATGAACTTCCACTCTGGTTCTGTGTTGGGAGAGAAATAAAGTGATACGGAATATATACTATTAGTTAGGAGTCAGGAAACTTTTTCTCTAAAGGGCCAGAAAGTAAATATTTTCATCTTGTGCACCATGCTGTCTCTGTCACACTACTCAGCTGTAGCATGAAAGTAGCCATAGAAAATAAGTAAACAAATGGGTGTGGCTGTGTGCTAATAAAACTTTATTTATAAAAACAGGCATCGGAGGCCAGACTTGTTCCCAAAACCATAATTTGCCAATCCCTGGCTATAGGCCTTTGGGAGCTCCCAGTCAAGTGCAGTAGAAAGACTTCTAAGACTTGTCAGGACGAGCCAGGGGGTAAGGTAGGGGGCTAACTTTACTAAAGAACATGGAAACTAATATTTTCAGGGAGACTATTATATGAACTTCTCAGAGATGAGTAAAAGAAAAACATATGACCTAGAACAAATAGCTTGGGTATCATTGTTTGGGTGTTTTGTTTTGTTTGTATCTTGCTTTTTAGGATCAATAACTTCAACTGTAAAACAGAGCCTTCCCTTTAGACATTTCCTTGGGAATTCAGCTTTCCCTCGGGACCCCAGACGTTCCATATTTCTAGCAATAAAAATCTCTACAGGTTGATTGGTGGAAAAGTGTGCCCCTGATTTCTGCTCCCTGTCACTGTGTATCACTGTGTATAGACAGATAAAGTGGAGGGCTCCTTTCTCTAGTAATTTGACTATAAGGAAAGGAAAAGCACGTGGGTATCGGAGGAAATCATTTCCTTCCTTTTTTATTCTTCTTCTTATTATAAAGAAATAACAAACAAGAATCTATGAGCAATATTGTACTCTGAAAATGAGCCAGGGGCTTCATAACAAGCCCTTAGAACAGTTGACAGGACACCAGAGCAGCTCAATGTGAGGCAGAATTGGCTTCTTTGAATGGAGAGTGGCTGCCCTCAGGATAGAAGAGCGAGAACACCCTGTCTGCACCTTGCTCAGGACCCCTGCTTGGGAAAGGCATTTATGGGAAATTCTCACAGATTCTCAGATGCGGACATTTAGATACAGCATGCAACACACACACACACACAGGCTTCTCCTCACCAACATAGCTGCAAAGGACCCCATCTGCACCCTACAACATGTTGTATTTTGTGATTGAAAATGGCTTGTCCCTTCCAGGGCTTTCGTGACTTAATCAATGCCAATTCAAATGGATCTGGTGCTTTATTCATTAGAAAGAAGAGATTAAATCTGTTGTGGTAAGGCAAAGTTCTCATCGGGTTTCTCTTTTTTGTTGATTTACAGCTTTCTCCTTGTCTTTGGTTGCCTGATTCTGTCAGTGTTTTCCACCATCCCTGAGCACACAAAATTGGCCTCAAGCTGCCTCTTGATTCTGGTAAGTGAAACCTATGAACAAAAATGTACATAAAGTGTATGTAATATAAGAACAGTTGATAATATTTATGCAATGCATTTCATCTCATAAAAGGTTCTATCTAGAAAAAAAGAGAGTTACTGTGAGTATAAACATTTCAAAGATCACTGAAACATTTGTTTATCATTTTAACCTTTAGTCAATCTTCAAGAAGATATAGACATATTCAGGATTGTTATTATACAGTGATATCTCATGTTCTAGTAACATCACAAATGGAAGTGAATACTTGGAAGCAGTTTTAATGATGTTTCTCTATGGTAGCAAACAAATAATAAGAATCAATGTCCATGAGGTTTCTCATTACATTGCTAAAAGTCACAGGATAGAGAGTATTTTCCAATAACCATAGTTTGGCAGTGGCTAAGTATTATTTGATAACAACTATGAAAATATAGCACCTCATTTAAAACAAACACACACACTCCTTCATGGTCTTTTCAACCAACGAAATGCTTTGAGTTTTATTTCTAATACAGTTATCTGGTGAGAAAGTCTACATTTTGCTGTCAATCCTCAACCACACAGAATTGCTCAGTTTATTTTAAAATAGAAAAAAAAAAAAAACAATATATTTTATTGTGAATTATTCTGGGATTTTTTTTTTTTTTTTGAGTTCTTATACTTTCTGTTACAAGTAAATTATAGCACTGTATCCTCAAATCACATCCGATTGAAAGTTTGGTTCATTAACATCCATTTTGACCCTTCTCACTTAGTTAAAAAATATCAGACTTGACAGTCTCAGAACTATTTGAATGAACTCTAAGCTGGAACTCACTTCTGCTGTGCAACCTGATGAACTCCAAAGGAAGAGAGAGAAAGAGGGGATGGGGTTAGATGGCTGTGTGCCCTGGTAAACAGAGGTCGGTTAACTACAACAATAAGCATCTAGTATAAGAAAATTCTTCTTCCCCTCCGCACTCCTCCTTTCCCTCTGAGATTAAGCAAAAAATTTATATGCATTGCCTATGGACACAGACACTAGGGTGGTGGAGGCCTAGGGCAGGGTGGGAGCCAGGTGGTGCAGAGCAAGGGGGAATAGAAAGGGGAGACATCTGTAATACTCTCAACAATACAGATTTTTTAAAAAAACTAAGAGTCACCTATTTAATCAGTATGTGATTGAGCCTTGATAAAACTCTGGATACCAATAATAAATAAATAAACAAAGAAAGAGAATTATTATTTCTTGAAGGTGGAAACTGAAAGATGTCAACTGCTATGACTTGAGTGGAGGGAGCTGCTCTTCTTACCTATGTTTTTATATGGCTGATTTGTGCTTGATGTTACCAAGACTTCATCAAGTCTCAGTCCTATGTCAGGGAGAAATCATTTTTGAGCCTAGAACAAATCTATTCCAATTTATTTTCATACAAATTGTGCTCAGCTCTATATTGCTAATGTAAAGGTTACTCTTTTGAAATGCAACCTATAGATTAGATAGGCAGACCAAAGAGCATACTGAGGATTTGTTCCATTTACAAGGTCTCCCATTGGGTCACAAGTGACCTTTTAGCTTCATTTACCCTTTTGGTAACAAGTGATCTGGGCCCTAGGTTTAGGGTACAGATGGCTTTACATTTCTATATAGAACCACAACTGGGAGTTTTAGAGTGAAAATGTAAATCTGATTGTTAGACTTGGGAACATGAAAAACTGGATCCACTGCATGACCAGTGATAAATAGTATGTGAAAATCAAACATAGAAATGCCACAAAAAGGTTTCTTTTATAACCAGGTCAAGAATCCAAAATGTTAAGTTTAGTTCCTCTATGATTCCACATATAAATGACATCATACAACATTTGTCTTTCTCTGGCTGACTTATTTCACTTAGTGTAATGCCCTCAAGGTCCATCCATGCTGTCACAAATGGCAAAATATCCTTCTTTTCATAGCTGAATATTTCATTGTATATATTACCAGTTTCTTTATGCATTCATTCATTGATGGACACCTAGGTTGTTTATGTCTTTACTATAGTAAATAATGCTGCAATGAAGATGGGGGTGCTGATACCTCTCTGAGATAGTGATTTCATTTCCTTCAGGTATGTACCCAGAAGTGGGATTGCTGGATCATATGGCAGCTCTATTTTTAATTTCTTAAGGAACCTCCATACTGTTTTCCACAGTGGCTTTGACAACTTACTTCCCCACCAACAAGGCACAAGGGTTCCCTTTTCTCCACATCCTGGCCAGCACTTGTTATCGCTTGCCTTTTTGATAAGACCCATTCTGACAGGTGTGAGGGGATATCTCATTGTAGTTTCGATTTGTATTTTCCTGATGATTAGTGCTGTCGAGCACTTTGTCATGTACCTGTTTGCCATTTGTATATCCTCTTTCAGTCTTAAATGCCTTTGGAGTTAGTCCCTTTCTGCAAATGAGGCCTTCGTTTTGAGCATGGTGGTAATGGCTGTGGATACATCTTCTCAGAAAGGTGTTGCTGTACCGCTTTCCTTAGGGAGAGAGTTTTGCTTATCCTCCTATTTTTGTGCTATAGTGATAAATTGTCAGGATGTGTTTTATCCAAAAGTGTATTCTTAAAACCTACCTAGGAATATGCAGACTGTGTTGCAGGTCTAAGATCATACTCATACTGTTCTTCTTCATTAATGTTTTCTTCCAAAACTATGTTTTATTTGGACTAAAAAAAAAAATCAAGTATAGCCATTTTATTCTTTAGTAATTAATAAATTAGTTAACATAGTGTCTCATAAAAGTCCAATCAGTTGTAGAATATTGGGGAAAAATAAAACAAGAAAAATCTTATTGATTTAGGGAATCTCTTTTTTATTCTTTTAACATACACGTTTCAGTAGTTCATCTGATTTCAGTCTCTCTACCCTCTGAACATTTAATTAAACATAATTCATAGAAAACAATTCTGACTCGCAGTGTTTTTAGTTCTCAAGATGGAGCATATCTAAAGTATTGCCATCCAAATAGTAATAAGAATTGCTTTTAAAGTGTTTGCAGATATTTACAATAAAGTCACTTTTGTATACTTTAATCACACATACAACAGAGGAGTACATTTAGAAGAGTTATGTACAAATCATATAACACAGTTGTGTATTTCTTATAACTCTGTCTCACTTGGGTTTTTAAAATACATTAAAAATGGTCCTACAGTCTAACTCTGATTCTATTTCTGTGCAAATAAAAAGCACCCAGAGTTCTGACAGGGAACACACGCCAGGCAAACTGGCCCCTGGACAAACTCCTCAGGGCCCCTTTGACACCTGTTTCTTCCTGTTTCCTTGAGGGCACCAGCATAATAGGTACAAGCCATTTCTTTGGCCATGGTCTTGCTCACCTCCTGGGTCTGAGGCCTTCAGTTCTCCATCCCCAACCCCAAGGGGAGGCGCTCATCATTCTCATCCAGAATTTCACTCCTGATGCTACTTGCAAACTTGTAACTTACTTGCCTCTGTTACCAGCCAAATGAATGCCCATGTTAATTTGCTCTTTTATTCTTTTTAGTAGTATGAACTGGGGTTTCATGATATACATGAGGTTCCCTATTTCTCTCCACAGAAGCAGCGGAGCATACACTGAAGAAAGTGATTGATATCATTGAGTTCAAATTCACTTCTACCACTTTTTAGCTGTGTGACTTTGGGAAATCACTTCCTGAGTCTTAGTTTTCTCATCAGTTAAAAGTGGATAGTAATATACCCTACTTCATAAAGTTGTTGTGAGGATTAAATTCCTGTGCTCAGAACTGGGCCCAGGACAGAGAATGCTAGCAAATATTACAATCACTGGCTCTTCCATACATATAATGAAGGCATTATACACACACAAATATAGGTGAACCATGGAATACTTGAAAATGCTATATTTCAAAAACATCATACTTTTCTAAAAAAAAAAAAAAACAGGTATTTTTACAAGAATTTTCTCATCACAAATACTGTAGTTTAACCTGGAAATAGGAGCACCCCAGTCAGGGTCAAGCAGGAGGCAACCAATCCATGTGTCTCTCTCACATTGATGTTTCTCTCTCTCTCTCTCTCCCTCCCCCCTCCCTCTGTCCCACTCTCTCTCAAAAAAAAAAAAAAAAGGAAAAATATCCTTGAATGAGGATTAATAAAAACATAATAATTCTAAATACTATTTATAAACAGGGAACAGCCTGGCTGTGGGGTAAGTAGTCAGGTGTAAAGCAGCATTGTGCTACTGAAGAGAGTGCTCCTATTTCCAGGTCAACCACAGTGGGAAGTTTCGTTTTGACTTGTTCTGATTTCATTACCTGAGGTTGTATATTTTAGCATTTCATATCCTACCTTCCTGAGAACAATGCTGCTCAGAGTGTATTTCCTCTCGATTGGATAACTTCTTGCCTCCGGATTAATTTTATTCATTTTAGGCCTTTAGTATAGATTGTCCAACACATTGAAAATAGACCCCTTCTCCACTTAATGAAAGTGATGTTTATCATTTGCAACATTTTCACTGAAGATGGTCATTTCTAGAAGTGCCCAGCCACGAGCTGTAAAAGGAATGCCATTATCAATTTTAGCAAGGTAGAGACTGCCTCTGCAAATTGGCGCCTCTATCCTCCTACTGTGTTAAGACTCCAAACCACAAGTGGATTGTACTGAGCATCTGGACAAGTACTCAAACACAAGGTCGAATATTCCGGTTTGCCCAAACATCTGGGTGTTTGGCACCATCTAGGCAGAGCATATGCATATTTGCTGTGTTTGCTTCATGTAGCAAAGCAAACATGGTTTTGCTGTTTCTTTGCACAATGAATCAGTTCCTGAAATGTGTACAAATCCAGTTTAGGCAGATCTAATTATATCTTAAATACACTAGTAGCGTTTACTATTTAAAGAAAATCTGTAGTGAATTCTTTTGTAAAGAACAGTCCTCTTGAAAAGCTAATAACAGCTACATAATTAATCTGTGTCAGTTTGTTTTCTTCTTCTAATGTGGGTGCTCGT